TACCTCCTCCCATCCCTTCACTGCTGGAACTAGACGGAATACTGACCTTTCATCCAGGATGGATCTCCACGAAGACGCCGAGCACAACGTCGTCACCGCCACCTTCGAGCTCCCCGGCGTCAAGAAGGAGGACGTGCAGATCGAGTTCCACAACGGGCGCCTCACTGTCGGCGCGGAGAGCAGGATCTCGGAGGAGCGCAAGGGGGAGGGGTACGCGATCCGCGAGCGCCGCTTTGGCAAGTGGTCGCGCACCCTGCAGCTGCCGACGGGGACGAAGGTAGGCTTGGTTTTGCTTCTGTTGTATGCAGGGCGCGGGCGTGCTGACGATCGACTTTACAGGACGAGGATATCAAGGCATCGATGGAAAACGGCGTACTCACCGTGACGTTCCCGAAGACTTCTCCGGAAGAGGCGCAGAAGAAGATTGCTGTCAACTGAGCAAAGGAAGTAGTTTGGACCACAGCACCCGCATGGACTTTGATGGAATAAATTGTAGCATAGTCGAGGGAATCCAGTATATCCAGTTGATATCCAGTCAAACCGATCAATTACCTGACAAACGTCAGAGCATGCCCAAGTGATGCAGACAGCCGAAGTCACAATCACATTCGTCTTTCAGTCGCGCAGGGGGAAGCGCTGAGACTACCACGCCACCGCGCCTGCAGCCATCTTCTTCCTCGGCTCGCCCGCCGCCTTCCATTCGCCCGTTTCTGGGTCGTGCGAAACGCCGCAAGCCGTCGATGGAGCCACTGCGACGAATGTCAGTCGATTCACACAACACGAACAGATTCTGTCGAATCAACCGAACAGAACCTTGCTGAATCAACCCACCTGCCAACCACACTACCTTATGCCCCAGTCTCTCCAGCTCAGCCGCCGTCTCCTTGTCCCATGACTCCTCCAGATGGGTCTCCTGCGGCGCAATCTGGTCGTGCAGGCGGGGGTGGGCGAGCGCGGCGGTCGGATCCATGGCGTAGTCCTGCGAGTGGGAGAAGGGCACGGATGAGCACAGACGAGATAATGAGACAAGAACGGCATGACAGCACCACGAACCAAAACGTTCCGCACATGCTGCACGTTGCAGCTCACGATCCTGCTCCCTCCAGCCGCGCCGCCGGCGTAGCGGAAGCGCCCCTGCGCGTCCTCGATGATGAATGGCGAGGTGGAGGATAGCGGGCGCTTGTTGCCTTCGACTGAGATGGTGCGGAGGATATGATCCAGAGGGTTGGGTAGGTAGGTCAATAGATATGTAGGTAGGTAGGCGGACAGTGCAGGGTCAGCATATGCGATTTCTTGGACAATGCGAAGGCGTACTATAGTTGGCTGGTGTGGGTAGGTAGCCCCAAAAGTTTGAGACGCCTGGCAAAAGATAGTGAGATAGGAAGTAGGGACAGTTGGTAGGGCCAGAGAAAATCGTACCCTCAACACTGAAGTCCTCCATGGAGTCGTTGAGAACGATGCCCGAGGACGGCACGATGATACGGGAGCCCCAGTATCTGCGGGAACGATGAGCACTTTGACGGGAGGGATTGTGAGTGGGGTAAGTCACTTACAGCGTTATAGTCGTAGTCAAAGATACAACGAGGCCGCTCGCGTCCGCGGCGACAACGTGGCTTGTGCCGTTGTCCATCTTCACCTCGATGCGACCATCGGTCTTGATAGTCTCGAAACTTGGAGGAGCGTCAGCGCGATGCTCTTAAAAGAGATCAAATCCAATGACTCGCCCTTCTGCTCGGTACTCAGATGGCGCAAGCACATTGTTGTCGTCGATCTTCGTCCGGAGCATGCGTCCTCGTGCGGGAGACACGAATTCGCGTTGCGCAGCATCAAGGCCGGGCACAAACATGGGGTCTCCCAGCAGTGTGCGATGCGCGAAAGCGTGCTTGGTCTACTGTCAGCATCTACCCTTCCCAACCTTCCTGGACGATTCGCACCTTCAAGCTCTCCGTCATCCGATGCGCATCCTTGACGCTGCCCGGCCCATCCACGTCCTTGAAATTGTCCAGAATACTGAGCGCCGCAAGGACGACCGCGCCGCTCGCCGGTGCGCCCACAGAGGTGACCTTGTGCCCCTTGTACTGGATGCTGAGCGGCTCGACGCTGCGTGCCTCGTATGCGCGCATGTCGTCTAGGGTCATCACGCCGCCTTCTGCTTGCACGGCTTCTACGATGCTTTGGGCGATGGCGCCGGAGTAGAAGGCGTCTGCGCCCTCGTTGGCGATAGTCTCTAGCGTTTGGGCATATGCGGGCCGTTTGAGGGTGGTGCCAGTGGGGAGGAGCTCGCCGTCCTTGGTGAGCCATTGGGATAGCGTTGGATGTTCGTATACCCAGGACGACTTCGGGTCGCTGGATCCAGCAGCGCGTGTCTTGATATTGACGACCTGGAAAGAGGTTTTAATATGAACTGTTACGAGATGTTACAAGCGCACATTCTGCATATCCTCCGTCAATGGGAATCCGTCGCGCGCGAGTTTGACGCTGGGCTCAAACAGACGCGACCAGGGCAACTTGCCATACTTCTTGTGCATCGCCTCAAAACCGCGCAACTCCCCCGGGACAGCGACCGCCAATCCCCCGACCGCACTCACTCCGGGCTTGTCGAGGTACATCTTGGAGGTGACGGCTGCCTAGTCACCAACTCATCGTTGGCCTCGTTGTTGGGATGCTGAAGGAATCTTGCTCACGGGCGCTGCTGGGCGGAAGTTGAGGCTCTCGCAGGTGCCCTCTGGGGTCCTGATAAGGGCGAAGCCGCCGCCGCCGATGCCAGACATGTCTGAACAGAGGGTGCCAACGGCGAGGGTCATTGCAATGGCTGCATCTACGGCACTGCCGCCCTCCTGGAGAATATGGGCGCCGATGCCGGAGGCTACCTGGCTCTCCGAGGCGACAGCACCCCGAGGTGAACGTGAATTCATACTGGTTGGAGAAGGAAGACTCCGCGTCTCTATCGTTGCGAAAGCGCGTCTACAAAGTCCAGCGACTACGAATGGCGCGACAGCGGTGGTTCTGAAATGCTTTATGAGATCCAGGATAGACGTAGGAGGAGAACAATGGGATTTGGAAATACAAAGGGCGCGCCTGCATCGATGTTTGATTGAATCAGATTGATGTCATACCGACTCATGACATGCTACTTATGATCGACGGGAACGCGGTTTAGCTGCGTGCTGTGGCGCGAGCGACGCAATCCTCCTTGTTTCCTACCACCATCTTCCCGCACATGAAGCTTTATAGACCATAGACATGATTCAGAATCTGCTCAATCTTCCCCACGACGTCCTCGCCCATATATTTCAATGCATCTCAGTACCCGGACTGTGCGCCCTGTGCTGTACATGCCGGGGCATGCGTGACCTGGTGCGTTATACGCGCACAGTACTCGTCCTACATAGCTGACAGATGGACCAGATCTCAGAATTTGGTTGGTCAGACTACTTGCGAGACCACCCGCAGGATACCTTCTCTCTAGCTAAGTCTCGTAAGACCTGGGACGCCCCCACCACCGTGCGCTATGACTACCTCACCGACCGCGCATGGGACGCTGGCCAATTCGTCGCCCGTCCCCTCACGGCGCAGTGGCGCACAAAACTCCAGCCCGTGCTCGCGATCAACGGCTCGCGTCTGCTCGTCGCGGCGGCGAACAGCATCCATGCATACGGCTTTGGCTCATCGAGCCCTCGAATATATCATGAGGCATCATGGGCGCTTTCCGAGCGCTTCAGCAGCGTAACGGATATCACTTCATTAGCATGCACACCGGATCCTGACACCTACATCGTCGGGATGTGGGATGGGAGCATCAAGCGGATAGAAATACGCGACGAGCAAGACGAGGGCACGCCCTCAAGTCGACAGCGGCAGCCCTCTCTGCGGTCAACGACAGTATATCAGTCTCCAAACAATGACATCGTTGAAAGCCTCTCCTGCGAGGATGACCTATTGTTATCCCTCTCCGCCACCGGCCGGGCCACCTTACGCAGCTTGCATGATCCAAACGATTCCGGTTCCTCCTTGGACCTCGACGCCCGTAGCTGGACCTCATACCTCTGCACCACCGCCTCCTCCCCCTTCGCCGCCTTCGGCACTGCTTCAAAAGCACCCCTCGTCCTTCACCGCCTCCGCCAGGACGGCTCCTTCTCTGAAGAATCCCCCCTCAGCGGGCCAACCCCCTCACCCGACTCCACGCTCGACCCCCCTCCCACCACACCCACTCTCGATCCCACACGTGCCATCACCCTCTCTCAGCATATCCACAGCACCCCCGACGTGCCCTCCAGCTCCGCCTGCTACGCGATTGCCCGCGCCCCGCCCGCTGCCCCCTGGGGCGCCTCCCCCGAGCTCCTGGTCGCCGGCTGGTACGATGGCCGCGTGCGCATGTACGACCTGCGCGTCGCGTCGCGGTATCACTACCGCGGCGCGGACGACAGCGCCCCCTTCCTCCGCCCCATGCTCGCGATGTCGGACCCGTGGCTGTATGAGCCGATATACAGCGTCGCGTGTGGTGGCGGCGCGGGCGCGCACATCGCGGCCGGGTCTGCGCGGCACGGTGTCGTGTGTCTGTGGGATATGCGATATGCGCACCGGCGCCACGAAGAGGACGCGATTGTTGGCGCCGCGGTCCCACCGACGGCAAGGGGGATGAGTGTGCACGCACCCGGCAATGATCCATCGCCCGTCTTCCAGCTCGCGCTTGAGAGCTCTAGGCTATACGGTGTTACCGACAGGCGGGCTTTTGTCCTTGACTGGGTGAGTGGACTGTTTCCGAGAACATCTTCATCTCATTGAACCCCGTATACAGGGTCCCAATGCGACGGAGGACACCTATCCTCCTATACCTGCGCGAAACCAGGGATTGAAACGGAAAAAGGGCCACCGAGGACCAGGATTCTACGTTACAAAATATGTACACGATAGACATGGGAGCAGTGGGTGAAGCTGCGTTACTGTGCGTTCTTCTGGTAAGAACGAATGCAAAAAAACCAACGAATCAGCGAAAGGTCATGCAATGCCAGGAATCTAACTTGGGTTAGTGGAAGTCCAATGGAGTCTCAGAATCCACTGTGATAACCGCTACACTACAAGACCATGTGTGGTTCACCCCTTATAACATTATCACAAGGCATGCTGCTCCGTTTCTCTGCTTCCTAGCGTACCTTGCCAAGTCCATAGTCCTCAGCCGTGCTCCTCAAACCAGGCGCACCCTAGAGAGCCAGAATAGTAGCCTAGTTACGCGCAATGAGCATGCAGGACCGTACAATAAATACAAGGTATACTACAGATAGACAGTAGGCATGGCACTGTACAGGTCGTGGCGAATCGTAAGCAAGCAAGCGCGGGAAGAACAAAAGCAAGAACACAAGCAAGCTGCGCTGGAAGGGAAACAAAAGCAAGCCTCCGCCCTAGTATGTAGTTCGATTAGATTATAAATATACTCTCAACAGTCCGTCCGTCGACGTGCGGCGCTCCCCGCCTCCGTCGCTATGATCGCGTTGTCGCTGTACACATTCTGGCCTGCATTTCGACATCCTAGAATCGAGAGCCACTCTACTCGATGGATATTCGCTGCCCCACCGGCGCGCCGCCCATATACGACGACTGCCGTTGCGACATATTACCTGCAGAGTCCATTTTGGTTGAGTAAGCCGGCCGGGTGGGCACATCTGTGAAAGAAAAGGAGGTCAACATTACCGCTGCTGCCAAAGTAGCCGCCGCCGCCACCGCCAAAGTAGTCGAGTTTGGTCGCGACGGGCGTATAGGAAGACCCACCGTTGACTTTCGAGGGCTGGAGGCCGCGGTCAAAGTCGGAGAAGCAGCGGAGGCCGACGGCGAAGGTGGCGAAGAGGATGAGGAAGGCGACGATGGCTAAGAGGCAGAGGGTTAATGGAGTGGGTAGGGTGGGTGGGGGGAGGAGACGTACTGAAGGTGGTGAGTGTTGCCCGTGTGGTGGCGTACTCGGCTTTCGAGCCTGGCTGGTAGAAGCGCACGAGCTTGTAAACTGCGGGATATTAGAGAGGAACATCGCCTCCGACTCGCAGCAACGTACGGACTGGAAGAGGAAATCAGTCAATCTATCAGCTATGAGGTGCTGATGTACATACAATAGCTCATGGCGGCCAACATCAATACTTGTGAGATCGCCATTATCCTGTAGACATCGGTAGTTAGTGCAATCCTGTCGTAAGCAGCCCTGTCAAACACACCATTTGATCTCTCTTTGTACCGCGTATCCGCAGAAGACGAGTAGGACGAGGACAACTGGAATGGCAGCGATGGTAATACCAAACTCGGCTGAGCTCGTGTTCAGGACAACAATGAGCAGCTGTGGAGGCTTCAGTCACTGGAGTTAAGAGGCGTGTCTCAGCTAATATTCACCTGCATCGTTACGCCGATGAAGAAGAAGAAGTCGAATTTCAGGAGGCAGATCATGATTTGGTACCAGCGGTACATCGCTGCAAGCTGGGTAAGGTCGCCATACAGACTGGTAACGCGGATAACGCACCCTTCATCTTGGGGTTGGCGCCCACAATGTGGAAGACGGCCCAGCTATACATGGACTCAATGAAGACGGTGGAGCACGTTCGTGATTTCGCACACGCACCCAAATTCGGCGTATAGTTGTTTGGTCCAGAATATCATGAGAAGCAAGGATGCCGCGATGAGGCAGGGCGCCACAATCAGGTAAGGTTCCACCCTATTCCAAAGTGTGCCAGGTCCTGTGCAGTTCTGGGGATGTGTAAGGGGGGGAGGGGAAGGGGCCAATGGGTGACGACGCACGACTTCGCTGAAGTTTGTGGCGCAGTCGTCCTCGGATCTAGTGACGAGGGCGGTTTTTGTCTGCTCTACTTGGAGGGCGGCCATCACCATCAAGGCGAGGTGGAATACTGGGGGTTCCAGTGAGAAAGGCGCCCGTGAGGTGTGAATATACGAAGGACGCACGTAAGATGCCGACGAGCTGGATGATGTTGCGCAAGCGCAGTGCGTCGTAGCACATGAAGAGTTCAAATAGTCTGAAGGGGATGAATATTCAGCGCCCGAAAGTGTGGCAGGGGTGTGGAGTCCCTTACTCGGCCAATGCGAATAGCGCCAGGTAGCAGGATAATGTCTAGGGTGGCTTTGTAAGGAGCAGTCTCCGGAGGACGAGGTGATGTGAAGGGGACCTTGTATCCGCTGGTAAAGCTGACTTCTTCGTCAACCTATAACGCAAGGGGGGTCAGCTATACAAGCGCCTATTAGTTGATCGGAGGACGCACCAGCCTGAACGTGATGCGACCATAACAAGCACTGCGATGGCCTCTGCAACTTCCCTTCAGCAAGCCAATCCCTGCACCGACCAAGATACATGACTGACGTATCACCGCTGCAGGCATGATTAGATACTATGAAGCCTGAGCGAAGACAAGGGAGCGCGTACCCGTTATGAAGAACCCGCGCTGGGCGCGGGTGGCGAGCAAGGGCTCGACGGCCATGGCTGTGGCAAAAGGGAGGCGGCACGGATGGGGGGAAGAAAGGAGATGTGTTTTATTTCTGCAAAACAAACAGCAGCGAATCGGGTGGAGGAAAGGTGAGAACGTCGGTGGCTGTGTGGCGCTGCAGATGGATGCCGGGCAGCTCGGGCCTGTTCGCCGCCCGGCAGATCACGCACACGTTTCGTGTTGTCAATGTTTGGTTTCGTGAGTCAGAATCACTCAAATACAGGCTCCATGTTCGACAGTGGCCAGCCTCGACAAGATTCGTGTTTGGATGAATCGTACAGCAAATACAGGGTACAGGTGCATGCAGTATAATACAGATCGTCTTTCATGCAAAGTCGTCAAGCGTTACGGGCGTAGACCTTTCACCGTCCTGCTTTCAGCAGATCCCTCAGGTTGTCCGAAATGTCAGGCAGTGCCATTGTCGGAACCTTCGTCCGCTGCGTCGCTGTCTCTGCGTTTGTTCGCAGCTTCGCTCGTCTTCTCTTCCTCCTGCGTCTCCGCGCCCGCGTTCTCGTCCGTCCCAGACATCTTCCTCTGCAGGGCGCGCCGCCGAAGGTTACTGCTCGACGAGCTAACCTCCTCCGCCTTCCGTCGATCGATATCCGCAATTAGCTGCGCGAACGACAGGAATAGCACCTCGGCCTGCGCGAGCGTCGTGTCCAGCTCAATCGTCATGCTCAGTTCGTTGCAGTATTTCAGAATCTCGTCGAACTGCGAGAGATGGCAGTCAGCGATGACAAGAATAGCACTATAAAAAAAGGAGACGTACCTCAACGAGATACCGCAAAATAACGTCCCGATGGCTCTCCAGCACCGCGAGCGCGACGAACAGCGTGAACTCGTTACTGTAGTAGTCCGTCCACAGCACCTCCCACAACCTCAGCACATCGTCGAAGGGAAACTCACGCTTGAAGGCGATGAGCACCCAGCGGAAGCAGAAGAAGAGGTTGAGCGCGTCGGTTTTCTCTGCAAAACCCACGCATTAGCTTTACGCCCGCGACAAACGAACGACATGGACTCACCGAGATGCCGATAAAGCTCGGGATCCATGACCGCGATGAGGTCTTGCAGCGTCGAGAGCTGGCGCTTCATGCCACTCTGGTCGCGTTGGAAGTTCTGCTTCTATGTTTATGCGTCGGCAGGCGCAACGCACAGAGAAAAGGGCACTTACCATGCGGTCCATGACCTCTACGAAGCACCAGAACACAAGCTCCTCCTCTTCCGGGCCCATGACAACGTAAAGCGGTGCGCATAGGTCAGACATGCCCTGCACGTAACCTACAAGTCCTTCAGCACACAAGCAAAAATGACGGTTTTGAGACCTCGCTCACCCAGCTCCTTTTCATAAAAGTTGTAAGTGAGCAGGATGCCCGCCATCCGGTCAATGTGCTCGTTGCTGGGTGACTGCGCGCCGATGTCAACGGTCTGCGGGGAGATGGTCGACACGCGGCGCTGGCGTTTGAGCTCATCGGGCGAGGACGAGAACAGGGGCTGCGTGCGATCCGTGCGCCGACAGTCGACGTCGATGCGATGTCGCTCGTCCACTACTTGCGGCTGGTCGTACACCTCCGGGTTCCCGGACCACTCGTTCTTAATCCGGTGGTACTCGCGCCTGCACAGCCTATAAGTCCATGGAATAAGTCAAAGAAGTGGAGGAACGCACATTTTGTCATGCCACCGCGCCTCCCGCTCCGCCCCGTCCACGTCCCAGTCGTACACACCCAGAATGAAGGGCCATATCCGCCGTCGCAACGTACCCTCCTTTTGTATCCCCCTCCTGAACACTTCATGCTTCATCTCCTCGATCCGCACCTTCGGCCGCCCGTCCGGTCCAAACCACCGCTTCCACATCTTCTCGTCGACTGGGTGCGCGGGATCCCGGCTCGTCTTCGGAGTCGGCAGATTCGACGTGGAGTGCAAAAGCTCAAAAATTCCTAGGCTCGACGTCTCCTCCTCAAGAGTGCCTGACGCCGGCGCGGCCTGCGCTTCCCGGCGCCGCGCGCGCTCGCCCTCCTCGGCAACGATGCGCGCCCAGCGGGCGAGGTACACGCGTGCGCTCTCGAACTCACCGACGCCGCCCTTCTCGACCCAGCTGCCCCACTCGCGCGACCACTCGCCGTTGGCGTTCACGAGGCTCTTGACGGGGTCGGGTAGGTGGGGGACGATGGGCTTCGCAAGCGGGTGGGAGAGGATGTTCTGTGCGGCGTGTCTTGTGGCGCGCGTAATGTTTGAGAAGGACTGCAGCAGGGCCATGCGCGCCTGCGAGGACGAGGGATTGGCACCGTTCGGTGCGGTAGGCGCGAGAGAGCGGTGCAGCACGGAAGATCGGGCAGAGTAGGGGTTCGGCGCGAGGTTGGGCGTGGAGCTGGAGACAGATAGTGGTCGCGGTCGGCGGTGGGCTGGTACTGGGGAGTGGGAGTTCGCAAACGAAGATTGGCCGAGGATATCGTCCACCGCATCGTCGTCGAATATTTGTGCGGTGTGCGTCTCGATGTCGGAGCGCGAGGGGTCGATCAGAAAGAGGGAGGGTTGCAGGTTCGAGCGCAGGATATGCGCGTACGACCGCAGGCGTGCAATGAGATCCTCGCCGCCCCATGACGTGCCGGTACGAGA